CCGGTGAATATTCCTTTTCTTTTTATTTTCCAATTTGGATTTTCTAAGAAAGAAAAGAAAGTGATGAAAATGGGTCGTTTCAAAAGATGGACAACAACGGTGCTAATGTCTCAGATGGTATCTACAGAATTATTCGAAGCTTCAAGAGTTTATCTCACTTTTTCATTCGTATGTCCTTTCTTCTATAATCTCTTTATTTTTTTTTTTAATTTCTTACCGGGAGCGCAACATTTCGCATAGAAAAAGTAAAAGATGTGTTATCTTCCGAAGGTGTTTCAACACTAATATAATGTCTACCAATAAACACACTAAATGTATATTGGTTTTAACTTTTAACTAACGTATGAAGTTATATATGTATAGGTTTGATCAACCTCGTTTTTCATATTTTTAAGTAAAGATGAATTAAGGAAGAGATGATGTTTCGTTCTATACAGTCAACACGGGACAGTGGAATAGTAACGGATACATCATTTTATGTATGTTAATGTGACACTATCTATGAGCAGGTTACGATGAGGAGAGAGAGGCAGAGATGGAGATTGGGTTTCCGACAGACGTGAAGCATTTGAGCCACATCGGAGTGGATGGAACCATGACCACTTTTGATCTCTGTTCCACCACCACGACCTCTTCTTCATCTTTTCCATTCGCCGGTTTCCATCTCACCGCCGTCTGATTTTGCATCTTCTACTAAATCAAACTTTATGACTACATACATAACTTTTTCTAATATGCAATATAGGTTCAAGTCGCAATTAAGACCTTACTCGGTTGCAAGAACACCTCAAAGTCTGTTCAATAATGACTCTCAAAAGATGGCTACTATTCTTTGCCGATTTCATCTTTCACCATCATCATTCATCCATCTTATAAATTTCACCTGTTTTTGTTTTCGGTCTCGAAAGCTTTATTGCTATGCAGAAGTAAGATCTTTGTTTACAACAGTTTCCAAAAATATTGGACAACAATGAAAGAATTCCCATTGTGGGAGGAGACAATTGATGTTCGAGCTACTAGATCTGCACATTGATTCGATTTTCGATAATTAAAGGAGAACTTAATTCCGGTGAATATTCCTCTCCATACTATTATGTCCGCCAAATAGGCATGAAGCTTTGTGTTTGAATCGACACCATTAAGCACAGCCTGTTTATCGTTGTGTTATCACCTTCGTGATGCGGA